TTAACTTTTTAAAAATCTCTTAACAAAGGTGAAAAATATCAATAATATGTATTGTAGTATCATCTATCACATTGAAAAGATACTTAAGTTGACTTTTACACATACAGTCACTTGTGTTTATTATGTAATATTATATTATCCCTTTATCTATAATTTATTCGTAATTTTCCAAATATTCAAAGATCTTGTTGTAAACATGATAATATATAAAAAAATAAACATAATAATAAAAAACAACATAAAATTTCAACTCAACTGCAGTTTGAACTCTCAACTTCCACATTATACTTGAGTGCTATAACCACTGTGACACCAAGTCTTTGTAATTGAATTTTAAAACACAATTCAAATCCCTAATGTAAACTATCACATTATTGTGTTTTTTCCAATATTGTAATCTCTTTCTCTAAACATGAGTTAATAATTAAACTTTATTAATGGAAGATAGAGTCTTATTAAAATACTGTTCAACAAAGTCATTACTTTTGCTAAAGAATTACAATTACTTCAGTGTATAAGTTTTTGCTTTCCAGTCAAGAGTTGTAAAAACAAGATATCATCATACAGCAAATTATTTTAGCACAACTTCCATCATAGAAAATATACTCAAACATACATACAGAGCTTGAAGATAAAAATGTAAAAACCAACCACATCATCTATGTGATCATTTGGTCCAATTTTTCTATCAAGAGTTTTGTTAAGTCGGGAGACAACCAAGTTTCTGTAGTTTTCATCTTCCATCAGTTTCTTGACTTTGTTGAGTTTTAACCACCCAACACCCTCTCCATCCAAAACTCCATTAACAACATCCTTAAGGAACTGCTGATTTTCACTACAAATATTCAAGAACAAATTTTCCTCATAAGTTAATAAAGAATAATTATAATAGCTCTAGTGAGTATAAATAATTTAAATGTCATTACAAAAATAACTAAGATTAACCACACTGTAATTAGGTGATCTGGTCATTATCTACAATTTTTAGTACAAATTGAAGTATTGTGTGCTCCTATGAGTTATGACTAATTACAATAAAATTGTGAGGTACTGTGGCAGTATATCTACTAACTGTCTAGTTCAATGGTTCTCAACCTTTTTGAATCTACAGAACCCTTCTGACGTTAAACTTGTGTCAAGGAACCCTTCACAGCATTCATTGCAAAAACATTGCAATAATATATCAATAACTCTAGATAGAGTACATATGTTTAATGCAGCTATATACCCACACACAATACATGAAAAATGTCTCAAGCCAATTATTTGGGTACAAATGCACACATAATGACAAGCATACTCTCTCAAATAATGATAGTTTACATGACTCAAGCACCCGTTTGTACCTTGTCTCTCTCACTAATCTAAAATAATGCAATAACTTATTATGTTGTGTCATTACGAATCCTGCTATACTAATAAAGAAATATGTAGTTGGATTGCTATCATGTGATTAGTATGTACTTGTGCATTAGAATATACAGAACTCTTGCATTCTGCAAAACCCTGCAGAACCCCAATATCTCATGGAACCCTTGTTGAGAATCACTGCTCTAGTTTGATTCACAAAATTTCAATATTAAATCTAGATATCATGAACCAACAAGTATTGGACAGAAGGAACTAACAAGAAAAACAGCAAGAAAGCATGGAAGACTTTTTATTTTCATTTAAAATACTGTTGAGCAAGAAGTATATATATATATATACATTTTAGACACCATAGTTGTTGAAGAAAACCAAAATTTAATAGTACACACAATAATAAACTTTAAAATGAGACTGTCCTCAGTCTCAAAATGCAATAAAACATTTACAAAAATCTATTATATAAAGATAAAAACTTGAGACTAATGGCAATATCACACTACATTTCAACATATTACTTTGTCATCGTAAAGAATGCAATATTTGACAAAAGCTAAGGTCTATAGGTACCTTAATAAAAATATCATATAATCAAACCAAATTAGCATGCTGATTTTACTCAAACAATTTAATGCCATCTACAGACAACTTGTTCCTCTAATCCTTCATCCTTATGTAAAGACACTAAGATTATTTGTATTATCTTTATTTATTTCAATATATTTATGGATATGTTTACTATTAATACTTGAAGGTTGTCCTAAAATAACAGTTTTTCCCCTTTAAATTCTTTATCGAGTTTCATTGGTATGATTAGCTAAAAGTAAGGTTTTATTTTATTATTCTTAATGCATGTTTTGTGTTAATTTAATCTGTACTTTAAATTTATGCTCGCTTGTCCTATATAAATATTTACACATTTATATTTAACTTATAAAGATTAGTTTTTCTACTAAATAAATTTTAGCCTTAGTTGTATTAAGAGACTGTCTAACCCTGTTCATCCGTCTCCTTCAACTGATATTCCAAATAAAAGATGTAAAATTGTACTTGTTAACAAAAAAACAAATTATAATATAAAAATTAAAGAATTATTGAAACAGGATCCCTACTAGAACATAAAAAATAATCCTATAAATAACTCCACATAACAGCAAAAGAAAAAAATGATATAGCTTAAACACAGTTTTAGATTTATTGCATTTAATATTAAGTATTGTACACAAGTATAAGGGGAAAAAATCATTAAATCAAAAAGCTGGCTATTGAACTTGAAAAATAAACCAAACAAGATGGGGATGGAAGTGGACGTATCACTTGATTGACTAATGCCCACATAGCAGACTACGTTGTCTCAACTTTACAT